AAAATTTATTAATTCCTGAAAATTCCCCTTCCTAGTCAGTACTATCCATTTCCTAAAACTAGTCTAAATATGAGTGTTTTTTTCAGAAAATGTACAATAGACGTTATTAAAAGGTATTACCAAAAGGTCATACCACCTATAATGTAATTTTAAAGGTACTGAATGTAAGAATGACTGCAGTCCTAATTCAAAATATCAGAGACCGTTGTTTCTACTGCTCCTCAGACTCGACGCTCACGCGGGTTGCCAGTTTGAGGACACGCAACAGGAGCGAGCGCAATTGACGACGAAAACCGAGGAGTTGATTTATCCGCGTTTTAATATGTTCTCGTTCATAAAGATATTAGATAGTGTGGTGGTGATGGCACACTGGATAAGACACATGCCTTTTGTGTGAGATATGCGGGTCGAATCCACTGTGAGACACCGATGTGTCCCTGAGCAAGACACTTAACCCCTAGTTGCTCCAGAGGCGTGCGACCTCTGACATATATAGCAATTGTAAGTCGCTTTGGACAAAAAACAAATAAATGTAAATATAGATGGATACCGAGGCTTTTTAGGTTGTGTGAAAACTGCAAGCTCTGACCCAGTTTTTTTGCTCGTTTCCAAGGCTGCAATACGCCGTTTCTCCTGCCAACTGGCATCCTGTGGTGTCGAAATACTATTGGGTGAACTGGCAGTGGGCGAGATCACATAGATCAAAACAAAACCGGACTGACAACAGGAACATGTAAAATAATAAAAGTGTTTTTCAGAGAAACGAATATGTGAATTTAGTATGTTTCCTAAAAATCTGCAAACATATTATGGTATTTTTTATGCTTCAGTAGAGTAAAAAACGTACATATGGCAACTTTAAAGGGGTGGTTGATTGCGATTTCACTTTTTTCATTTTAAATAGTGAGTAATGTTGCTATTGATGCATGAAAAGTATCTGCAAAGTTGCAGCGCTGAAAGTTTAATGTAAGCAGAGATATCGTCTTTTAAAAATCAGGAAGTTTAATGCCTACAAAAACGACTCGATTGGGACTACAGCTGGGTTTTAGACGTCACTAACCCACACATTTGCATCAACCCCTCCCTCTGGAATATGCAAAAAAAGGGCATGGCCATATTTCTGCGGCTCGTTGAGTGAGTTGTGTTCATCAAGCTGTCAGGTCTTCTGTGTTCGAGCTTCCCACGGACGCTACTTCGTCAACAATGGATACTACTTACTTATTTTTGATTATGTTCCTGAAAAATACAATCGTACTTTACCTCTCTGAGCTGCGCATTTACGGAAGACAGCTTCCAGAATCTCCACGAATTCAACACCGGATTCAACAAGAAACTGTTACTAAAACAAGAAGCAGTTCCAACTTTAAAAGCAGAGGCAGCAGTTGTTGGGCCACAACCTGTAAGTAGGCTAAGACTTCATAATTTTGAATGTATTTGCATGTATTTCAGACGTAATGTTTTAGTTTTTTAAAATGCCAGCGCTGGCTTTATAGCCACTAGGCTACTAGTTACGCTATTTTGTTTCTACGACAAACGCATACAAATATTTTGGACATTAATTTTGTATATGTACTAATTTTGTAAATGTATTTTTCATGTACTTTATGACGCTATTTCTCGATTTGATCAAGAAAGTAAACCAATGCCAACGCTGTTTGTGTATATAGTAACCAGTGAGTTCAATGCTATTTGTAAGACAAACGTGTATAAAGTTAAAAATATAGGCAAATTACCATTCAGAAACGTTTAGTAAGAGCCGTATGTGGTGAGGTTCTGCTTGACCCTCTTCATCGACTTCACTGCACTGTAGTTCCGACTCCACTATTTACATTTGACAGGAACACAAACTCTCGCCCGTAAAGGTAATGGGTGTGAATTTTCCGGACAACGCGCACTACAGTTTAGCCAATCACAACACATCGGCCCAAACTAACCAATCTGAGCCCACTGCCTGTTTCTGAGGGAGTGGTTTCATAGAATCAGGAAGTCAACCGGTCGTTCAAGCGACAGAGGAGAGCGCGGCTTACAATAAATGTGAAATTTATGAAAAAAAAAAGACTTAAAAAAAAAGAAAAAACACGAATACATGTTATAATGCACCCCATAAACACAATCATGCAAAGAAAAAAAAAAGCAGTAAACCATCCCTTTAAGCGTTACCATAAATTAAAATGACTCTTCCAGTATTAAAATTGTGTTCGTCGTAGTGCACTGGTGCATGCATTTTGAACGCAATATGTGATCTTACCTTGCTAACATTCAAGGATGCTAGAGGAGGAGGAGTTTCAGTGCGGTCATTAATTATATCCACCTCTGAAACATAGGCTAAGTTGATCAAGATGACGTCGCTGAGGTTGGGCTTTCCGCTGGAGGAAGGACATTCTGGCAGGAGGGTTAAGGATAAATCACACAAGGACATCAAGACATTCATGCAGGTGTTCTCTCTCAACAGGTAGGTGTTGAAACCTCCCGTTTAGGAAATGACTTGGTTTACTAAACATTAAAAGTAGTTACAGACACACCGGTTTACAACACACCCAAAGACATTAAGCAGTTCAAATACTACCTCCATCCGCCACATGGTTAGATGGCCATTATTCTAAGACCTAGATGTAAAATACGAGCCGAGTAATACAGAAAATGAAACCAACACGAGTAATTGCTTGAGCAAGCCTACAAAAAAATAAGTCGGGGGGAAAAAAAGTGACAAGTGATGTCATACATGTCAAGCGTCAAACCATCAAGGCCACATTTAAACAAATGTCAGCACTGACAACAGGGATTTACAGAAATCCCATGAAGGTCAATCTTATGTGTGACAAAGCAGATTCATTAATTCAACACTAAGAAGAATAATCTTCATCTTTTGTAGATACCTGAAAAACTTACTTTTCCATTCTATAGATACTGATTAGCTATTTAATCTGTCCTTAACCCATGAAGCATACTGTATCATATTTCATATACACATTTCTAAAGTCTCTAAAACTTTGCTTAACAACCTGTTGTATAATCTACTATATGCCTTCTGAGCTATATTTATACTTTTTTTGGCACGTAAAATTAATTTTAGTATAATTGTAAAAACATCCACCTTGAGGTGGTGGTGATGTGATATCTTCAAAGATTTTTATTAAACCATGCCAGGTCAAAGGGTGTCAACACTTCTGCTCACCCTTTAAAATGTCAAGTCGAAAGATGTAAGCTATTTTTCAGCAATTTCACTCGTTTGGAAGGAACCGGTTTGTGATATTTTAGGACACAAAACGTATAGCCAAGTGAATAGGTTAAAGTGTCATCCTTCCAGTCTCGGCATTCACAAACTCCCTTATTTAGTTATAGGATGGTCAAAAATATGAATGACCATTCAGCATGATATTATTGATCTGAGAACAGTATAGCAACTTCAGACTGCTTGTAGTAAGAGGGTAAACTAATGTATGCTACGCAGCCTGTGCATTATTAGTTCTTACTGAGAAAAAAAATAGTGTATAAACAATATACCCTATGAGAGCTGCCATTATTACACTGGAAAGGCATTAGCTTAGCACGCAAGGCTAATATTGTCGGTCGCGAGGACATGCTAATCAGCAAGCTAACCACAAACAACACTTTTCCAACACGTTTTCAACTGTGAAGCCACGTCAAATCAAGTAAGCACAGAAAACACCAAGCGACAAACACGGCTGAACGTGACCAAACACAACATAGAAGGTAAACGAAGCAAGAATAGGCGTTGAATGAGGCCACTAGCGCACACATAAACACGCTCGCGCGGAGCGTCAGTTTGACACAGTCCAGTCGCTTTAACGCACATATCCGAGGAATAAAGGATACTCAGGGTCAACATCTTGGACGGGTAATCGAAAGCCACCACCTCTCCCTGCAAACGTTGGCCTAAACAGGTGAGGCAAGAGACATGGCTCCCGACACTGAAATACTCCCCCGGTCCAGGAGCCGCCATCTTCTCCGCCAGGGAAACCGGAGCGCGAGCTTTACGTAAACGCACGCGAGGTCGTGACTGCTACGACGCAGCGGCACGTCAGGTGACAGGAAAGAGTGGAAACACACGATTATCCTTCTACCAATTAAAAAAATAAAATAGAAAAAGAATAAATAAATAAACAAACAAAGAGACTTACCACTCTTGTTTATTCAAGAGTACTGGTTAATTAGTAATTATATATATTATATATATAGACTGGTACCAAATGGTAGACTATTTTCCAGATCTTTCATGAGTCTTTAATCTAAATAAAGAACAATCGTAAAGTTGTTAAGACATCTTTGCCATTGAAAAAGATAACTGATGTACTAGATGTATGACTGACGTTTGATTTAAGATGGATCTTTATCTATCTATCATTTCATATATTAATGTATTTATCTAAGAAATAACAGTCAAATTATATAGAGCAAAATTATAGAGAACAGTTCAGAGAATGAGAGATAAATTAAACAACAATATAAAAGAATAACCATATAAAAACAAACAACAAAAGATGATTTTTTAAAAAAAGTTTTAGAATGGGCTATTTATTGTTTTCACAAGTTCCTTATTTTGTATTCTTGTGCTTAAAAGAGTTTCATAGTACAGATCAGTTTGAGATCAGTGTTACAGAAGGTAATATATTATAATATTACATGTAATATTATAGATTAGTTTTTCTTGACTTCAAATAATTAAATTATTGATCATTTAAAAGACTGTTTCTCGGTTCAGATACTAATCTTTGCATATGTATTTAATAAGTAGGCCTAGATTAAGGTGAACTGATAAAAACTCAAAAAAATTCTGTAAAAAAGTCTGTTCGAATGGGCTGATTACTGTAAAATATGCGTTTTAGCAGATACATTTTGTCCCACTGCGGCACCCTGACCCGTGATAACGGCAGCGCTCCTCCTGACAGCTTTAGCGACTTCTCTGACAGTTGGTTTATCTCTGTTTCACTCAGTCTTTTACCTGTAAGATGAACAGGAGACCTTAATGTTATCTGTGA